CAACTTGAAAAAATCATTGAACCGCTGATCATCAATTTATTCATATTGCTTGCTTTCATTATCGAATTTCTCGTCACCATCTTTTTCTTTTGTAATACTAAAGTCCTTTTTTCCATATCTACCAACTTGTGTAAAAGAATTGATGTTTTCACATCACTAATTCCTTCATCCTCAATTGCAATAGATGAATCTTTTGAGCATCACTAATGACTTCCATAAAATTATTGTGATTCTTGATATAACTATTTTTATTGTAAAATTCCTCCGTAAACTCGTTGACATACAAACTCTTTTTACTGCAATATTGATATTGGTTATCCGACAACTGTTCATAATCAAATGGAATAAATCTAGCCAAAATTAACCATTTCATCTTTGGCCACAATTGAAAAGGTTGTTTTCCTTGCCTCATCTAGTGTTAATCTTTATCCTTCCTTACCAAACTGAAGCACAACATTTAAACTTAAGAGCAACAATCGAAACTTGCTTATTTTCAGGTATCTTAAAATATTCGAAAAAGTCTTCAACTTAATCGAGCCAATCTAAGACAATATCAACATAAAACCTTTCATAGAAAGTGAGTAAATCAAGTTTTTTCTGAAACTCAAACTCATGTTTGTCCGGATATCTACAACTCTTATTGCATCTACCTCAAATTTGAAGTCCTCATCGTCGGACTAATCATCGGAATAACTTATATAGGTTGGATGCTTACATCAATATATAGGATCATAAATCATGTTCGGTTGGCTGCGAGACACATCATCAGCACGATCCCAAACTAAACCACAAACCTAGTTGCCACTAATCCTAAAACCAGCTGGCACGAACCATTCTTGAGCATGTATGGCTGCCTAAGGGAACTTCACTCTACAATCATCGTCGCCAAAGTGGGTGCTAACAAAATAACCAATCACCATCAAACTAGGGTAAAACAAGGCTTTGATACCAAATGATTGAGCGGAAGCTATGAATGTTTATAAATGAATGATAAACAATTTTGAATTCCCAAAGTTAAAATAAAAATTGCAAAACATTATGATATTAATCAAAAGGTTTAATTATGCTCTACCATACATGAATATTTATAATAATAATAATAAAAAATAAATAAATAAACCTAATTTTTGTAAGGAAACCTATCAACAAAAACAAATTAAAAATATAAGGAAATTAATACTAAAAATAAATCTAAACAATAAATAAATAAGAAACCTAAATAATAAAATTACTCTAGGTACCTTGCTAACCAAATAATAATCATAATGCCAAAACTACCCCTTTTTTTTCTTCTTTTTTCGGTAAATCAACAACTATAGGAAAAGAAAGAGAAATACACGCAAAAGCAAGCCCAAACAGAGGCCCAAAGGCAAAAAAAACAAAACATAGCAAGCACGGGCCAAACCCAATAACTAGCCTAAAAGCAAAAACAACAAGAAGACACACACACAACCTCAAACTCGCCCCAAAGATGTCTAACCCAACTTCACGATGATTGAATAATGTGAAGCTAAGGCAGCCAAAATCAAAACTAGATAAAGGCAAAACGGAGTGATACACTAATCGGCGACGATGATAGTGTTTGGAAGATTCCACGAAGCAGCAATGTCTCTTGACTTTTTGTAATCAGGAAATTTGATGTCAAAGATCAGTTTCTGGACTTCACTAGCTAATGACTTCTTTCCACTGAAGGTGCAATTGTTATGTTTCTTCCATAAGAAATAGATGTATCTATTAAAACATAGCTTGTAGACGTACACGTTGCTAGCCTTAGAAGTAGGGCTCCCTATGGATGTGATCCAAGCTACAATAGATTGGTAGTTCAGATCACCATAGTAGACACCACACATGTGCTGCAAAAAACCCCAAATCGTGACAGAGAATGGACAGTTGAAGAAGATATATGCGTGTGTGATTCGATGCCATTGGGGCATGAAGTGTAAGCAAAGGAAGAGTTTGATAGACCCATGCTTTTGCTATCTCGGGTTTTGAGTCTGGAGTTAAGGGCCAACCAAGTGATGAACGAGTGCGGGGGAATATGGTTGGTAAACCATACCACATATGGTTATATAGGCAAGATCGAATGTGCTAGTAATGCCAGGTAAGTATCCCAAATATTGAAAGACCCTGTACGGAAGCAATCCATATAGGACGATCAATACTATTATGTTTGAGCAGAGGTAAGTGTTTCGAATGGCTAATTGTCCGAACCATTTGGTAAAATAACCGTGGAATTCTTCATTGGTACCTCATAATTAAGGAGCTAACTTTAGATGTCTCTCCCACGGAGAGTGGTTAATGAATCTATGGTCAATTCTTGTGTGTAGCAAAATTACTAAAATAACCTCACCAACCTAAAAGGTCTTGGTTCGATATTATCCTCATTTTATTCTCTCAACCTAAAAGGTCCATTTCTTGTGTATAGTGAGATCTCATCGATAAACACTTATATTGCATTTAGTGTGCAAGAATGGAATGCCCATTCCAACCATTCCTTTGTTTGGTATGTAATTTAAAATGAAAATGTCATTCCATTGAAATGAAAATCCATTCTACAACTAAATTTATGGAATGACTATTCCCAAGTAATTTTTATCTTTTAAAAATCAATTTCCCAAAAAACCCTCATGTTCAAGTCCAAAAACCTCCACTACCTTCCACCACAACCACCTCCGCCTTTCACCACCTCGACTACCGACTTCCATCACTATCATTGCCTTCCACAACCACCAACGCCATCAACTTTCACCACTGCCCACCGCTTTCCACCACCACTACTATTGCTTTTCACTACAGCTACCACGTTCCGCCACCGCTATCACTTTCCAATACCACCACAACCACCTTTCACCACTACCACCACTGTGTTCCACCGCTACTACCTTCCATCACCACCGTCACCATCTTTCACCACTGCCACCGCCTTCTACCACCACCACCACCACCACCATCATCACCGCCTTCCACCACCACCACTGTCACCGCCTTCTACCACCACCATCGCTACCACCACAATTACCGCCTTCCACCATTACCACTGCCGCTGCCTTTTACCACCACCATCACTGCCTTCCACCACCGCCACCGCCTTTCACTACCACCACCGTAATCGCCTTTCACCACCACCACTGTCACCACCGTCACCTACATTGCCTTTCACCATCACCATAGTCACCTCCATTGGCTTCCACCACCATCACCTACACCACTATCTCTTTCCACCACCACCGCCACACTACTGCCACTACCTTCCACCAACACCACTGCCGCATTCCACCACTACCGTCGTCGCCGCTTTCCACCATTGCCACTACTTCCACCTTCCAACACCATCACCTACACCACTACCACTTTCCACCTCTACCACCATCGTCACCACCAACCATACACCACCGCCATTGCCACCCTTTATTTTTAAAAAAAAAAAAATTATGGAAGAATGTTATTTTGTTAATTTAATTTATTTGTTACTTAGATGGATATTTTAAAGAACTCAATTTTAAATTTATTCCATTTTAAATTTTAAATTGGTTCAACTAAACACTAGAATGCTTATTATCATTTCATTCCTACACATTTCATATTTACAACCAAATAATAAAATAAGAATGTTAATTACATTCCATTTCCATTCTCATTCCATTCCCATTCTTATTCTTATACCATTCTTACTTACTGTTTGGTTCGGAAAAGTAAAAATAATGGGATAAACACTTACATTTTATTTCATTGCATTATTGTCGTTTTATTCTCTCAACCTAAAGGGCTAGTTTGGTACGCAGAAATGAATTGGAATGGAGTGAGAATGGAGGTGGGAATGGAATGAGAATGTTGATTCTCATTCTATCATTTGGTTGCAAACACAGAATGTGTAAAGTTGGAATGGAATGAATTTATATTATTTTCTCTAAATACATTTTATTATTAGTAAAAAAATTAGCAAAGCAAAAGGGAGAAGAGATGTTAAAGAGAGAAAATAGACGAGATAAAGAGAGAAATACAGAGTCTCCATAACTATCAACATTCCCGCCGCCACAACCACGACCATCAGTACTATTCATTTCGATAAATGAATTCTGAAATCCACCAAAAATACCAAAAACAACTGTGAGAGAGGAATCAACTAATAGAGAAAAAGATACTTTTGTTCTACCAGATCGTCACCGACAGAGGGGACAACTCCAATGACCTGCAAGAGATCTGATTCCGGCCAAATAACGAACCAACAATGTACTTCAGTCCGGCGACACTACAAGCGTCCTCGACGAAAATTAAAGTTAAGGGCATCGCCGTCCTTACCGGCCATTTAAAGTTAAGAGCATCGTCATCCTTCTTTATATTGAATTAATTATATAACAATATTAATTTTTAATAAAACCCAATTGTTCGCTGGAGATACTGCCAGAATTTCATTTGGTTCTTTCTGATTTGCATTCCTAAAAAAAAGTTATGAAGATGGTCAATAACTCGTCAGTTCATTCCGCCGACAGTCTTGCTCGTCGGGGCCGACTTTGCTTCTTCATTGTTCGTGTGTTTACAAGATTGTTGTGGTGGGTTTGTAATTTGTTAACGACACCACTTCAACTTTATTTTTTAATATTTTTTTTAGTTTGTATTTTTTTAAAGTAAGAATAGAAAAGGCGGAATGATTTTGATGAAATGATTATTCTTCAAAAATGGTGAAAAATGACAATTTCAAATTTAAAATTGGATACCAAACACCAGAACGAAAAAAAATAAAAAAATAAAAAATAAAAAATAAAAAACAACTTTCTTTGTAATTCATTCTACCGCACCAAACTAGCTCAAAAAGTTTTGGTTTGACATTATCCATTATAAAGTAATTAAATAAATAAAATAAAATAAACTATTTTTATAAAAATAAAAAATAAAAAAAAACCAAAGGGCGAAAGATGACACGTGAACGGTGTAGATTTCTTTTATGTGAAACAGAGTTAGATTGGAATTGGGATTAGGTTTCCGATAGAAAGATCTCTTTCGTCATTCAATCGTCTTGCAACTTTTCTGTACTCTTGCAATCCTCCCTCCTCCTCCTCCTCCTGCCCTCTCTCTCTCTCTCTCTCTCTCTCTCTCTCTCTAAACCTCTTTCGTAATTCGACTGATCGATCATGGAGATGGAGCGTGTTACTGAGTTTCCCCACACGTACATGGACAGGCGACCTAGAAAAAGGCCTCGTTTGGGCTGGGACGTTGGTCCTCAGGACCCTAAGGTATCTAACTCTTTTCAATATCTCATATTAATCTGATTTTTTTTTTTCTTTCTATTTTGCTCTATCTTGTCAAAATTAGATACATCGTAGATGCGGGAAAACAAAATTAAACTGTGATCCTGTTATATTTAATTTTACTATATTTGACGGTTGGAGGGTTTGTTCTTTTCTTTAGATAGATCTGCATAATCTGTGAAGATTTGGTTCTTTTTTCTTCTTTTTTTGTTCAATTATAACGTTATTAGCTTGATCTGGGGTTAGCTTTTGATTCTGATGTATTATTTTTTTGGGTGATATCAATTTTTATGTTATTTGTGAATTATCATGGTTTTTGAGATGTATTGTGATGTTGTTAGGTGGATTCTCTTGGTTTTTGAGATGTATTGTTAGGTTTTATTCTGTGTTTGGTTTAGATAGTTGACTCACTTTTTTCTCCTTATGAAGCTACGTTATTAGAATCTGTTTAAGTATATGAGAAGAAACTTTTTTGATTCAATAATTCATTAGCTTCTGTCTCCTCAGATTAAATGCTTGTGTTAGCGGAGATGGTGTGATCTCTCCTCCTCCAAAGGGGAGGTTGAGTGTTCGAGCCCTGCTAGGGCAATATTGTGGGTGTCTGTTTTTGCTTCAACTTCTGAAAAAATATATAAATGATTAAATATAAATTTAGTGATTTTTTTGCAAGAAATTGTATTTTTAGGTATAGAGGGAAATTGTTACTCAATGATATTAATATAATCATATAATATACATACAAATAAATAAATTGATATCAAATTTCATTCCTAAAATATTTTTAAGAAGCTTCACCAAGAAAGATTTGACAGAGGATGTTACATATGTAATAGGCAGCATGTGTAGGTTTAGCTTTGTTATTTTTTGTGGATACTGGTTTAAAGGATTTATCTTATGATTTAGTTTGTAGTGTTAAAATTGTTTCGTGTGCATTGAACAGTAAACCTAAAACTAATGACACAACTTTTAGGCCTGTAATTTTGTGAAATCGCAATTGGGTTGGCCTTCAATTTTGTTCTTTTTTCCTATTTTTTAATTTTGATTAGCTAGTATTAATATGTGAATTCTGTTTTATCGGTGGTTGATTTGCTGTATGAGTTGAAACCTTTATTTGTGGTGCAAGTGTTGGCCTTCTTTGGCATTTCTTGTATCCATAGTCTAATTTTATGTGATGTTTATAACAACTAAATCGTGGTTCAAAGTTCATAAGGCATCAGGGAGCTGAAAATTTAATTTTTTATATGGGTGGAACATGAATGGGTGCCTGTGTGTAGGCTCAGCTAGGAATGTTTTGTGGACAAGAGGTTGGAAATGTGACAAGCTTTGCATCTTCAAAGGCGCCTTCAGGCAATACTAGTTCTTCTCTGTTTGTTAAGGGAGTGGCTCGAAATGGTTCTCCCCCACGGCAAGTAGATGACAAAGATGGGCATTACATGTTTGCAATTGGAGAAAATTTAACTTCTCGCTGTAACTACACTTTACCATCATTAAGAAATTTACATTTATAGTTTTCCTTGATTCATTTTAACATCCAACTATTTTATTATTAATGTTTTTCTTATTGACCTTTTGTTGATTTTTTTCTTCTTATTATTATTTTGATATGTAATCTCTTTTTTCAATATAACACACTTTTATTTTCTTATCCATATTGTTTCTCCGGGGTGTCGTGGTATGATTCCAAAACAATTTCAAGCATATGATTTTTTTTTCTTTCTATATTAACGTACTATAAGTGTTCTTAAAGGTGCAATTTGGCTTTCCAATGCAATCTATTGAAATGCTTCTGATATTGAGTGGGTCTACATTTCTTGTGATTTATTATTTATCTAATTAAAACTAATTTAGCTGAGGCAATATCTTCCATCATTTGTTCTCAATTTTTTGTAGTCGTATGTTCTGTATTATAATCTTGTTTTTCTCTCTGATTTTTCTTATGTTGCTTCATTTCCATGTTTGCAGACAAAATCCACAGCAAAATGGGTGAAGGTATGTTTAGAATGAAATTTTGTATGTTGAAATCCCAAGTTGAGGGCACATTGTTCTGATGTTTTGTTTGTCTCAATCTCTTTCTTCATACAGGTACTTTTGGTCAGGTTTTGGAATGCTGGGACAGAGACAAGAAAGAAATGGTAGCCATTAAAATCATTCGTAGTATTAAGAAGTATCGTGAATCAGCGATGATAGAAGTTGACGTGCTGCAACAGCTTGGAAAGCATGATAAAGGTGGCAACCGGTGAGTTTAATATCTATTTGTTTACCTCTTTTACTGCTTTTCTTACTGGTCTTGTGGACTTTCATGAACTTGTGTCAAAGGTTAAATGGGTTTATTCCTTGCAGTTGTGTGCAAATACGGAACTGGTTTGACTATTGTAACCATATCTGTATTGTAAGTATATAATTGATTTGGTGGATTAAAAAGTTCACCAATTTCACAAATATTATTGAGTTAAAGACTTGTCGATGAATTTAAATGGTTTTAACAGGTTTTTGAGAAGCTTGGACCAAGCTTGTACGATTTTCTACGGAAAAACAATTACCGATCATTTCCCATTGAACTTGTTCGGGAGATAGCCAGACAACTGTTGGAATGTGTAGCATGTGTGTATTATTTACTTAAATGCTAGTTTCTTTCAATTTCATAGCTGGATATCCTGTTTTTCTTCACAAGTATTAATTACTACTTCCATATGATAGATAATGTTAACTATTTCTCATTTGTTCCTGTATATATTTCCTTACCCTTTTCCCTCTGCCCTCTTCCCTCTTCCCTCTAAACCTTACAAAATTTTAACCGAGGTAGATTCTTAGTCAGTTGGATCTAATGTCGCTCTAGTTAAATAATGTTGGTCCTGCTTCTAAAAATTTGCAGTTATGCATGATTTGCGTCTCATACATACTGATTTGAAGCCTGAGAACATACTCCTAGTGTCTCCGGAGTGTGTTAGAGTTCCAGATTCCAAGGTAAAGAATCACTAAAGATGCATCAAAGATATCACTGTTAACATTCTTTTGAAGACTAGATGGACAAGTGCCTCAAAATAGTGAAGAGAGAGTTACTTGTGTATCCGGCTAGAGGTTTTTTAGTAAGGCTTTACTGAAGGTTATTGTCTTTGTCCTTTTCTATTTCAGGTTCAATCAAGATCACCAAAAGATAGTTCTTACTATAAGAGAGTGCCAAAATCAAGTGCCATCAAGGTAATTGATTTTGGTAGTTCAACTTGTGACCGTCAGGACCAGAGCTACATTGTATCAACACGACATTATCGTGCACCTGAGGTTATTCTGGGTATGGTATTTGCATTTGTTGTTTTATATCATGTTATTATGATATGTGTGGACAGGAAGGATATAATTTCTAGTTGTGATTTTTAATTGTGTAGGGCTTGGATGGAGTTACCCTTGTGACATATGGAGTGTTGGCTGTATTTTGGTGGAATTATGCTCGGTACATTACTATTGTTGTTATTGGGTTTTCTGGTTATGTAGCGGTATAATTTGTTGTGTTTGCTTTTTGTGAAGGATAAAATTTTTCACCTCGTTTTGTCATTTAAACAGGGAGAAGCATTGTTTCAAACCCACGAAAATTTGGAGCACCTTGCCATGATGGAGAGGGTCCTTGGTCGACTGCCTCAGCATATGTTGAAGAGAGTAGAGTGAGTAATTTTTCACACAGAATCTCTGTATCTGATTATTTATTTTTTTAATTTTTTGAGTAAGATTTGACACTTTGGTCAACAGTAGTGATTAAGATTAATTAATTACTTGCAATTTGTCGTTCAGTCGGCATGCAGAGAAGTATGTTAGGAGGGGTAGATTGAATTGGCCAGAGGGTGCAACCTCTAGAGAGAGTATCAAAGCTGTTCAGAAGCTACCGTGTCTTCAGGTCTTAATTTTGAACATTTTCAGTCTGACATTTGTTCGAACTAACACAGTAATACTCCAGTAGTCTGGCCTGGCTTTATAAAAGTTGCTTTTCCATCTTGTCTGAAACATGTGAATTTGTTTATATGGCAGAACTTAGTCATGCAGCATGTGGACCATTCAGCAGGGGATCTCACACATCTTTTGCAGTTACTTCTCAAGTACGATCCCTCCGATAGGCTGACTGCACGGGAAGCCCTCAAACATCCTTTCTTCACCAGAGACCATCTTAGTAGGTCTTGAGCAGTGAGATAACAGCTAGTTCGTGTCATTTTTGTATATGGTATGCCGAATTTTCAGCTGGTCAGCGGAGGGCATTGATCTTATTTTGTTGCATTTGTGGAAGGTTTGGATGGATCACTTGCTAATCACCGCGGTCCATTGTGTGTATATATCCCCCTACGCAAGCCGTTTGCATATAGAAAATTCTCTAATTCCGATGTGTATTGATTGGGTTTTTTAATCAAGGACAAGTTGAAATTCTTTTTTGGCTGTTGATTTCTGCAACTAGTTATGTTATGAATTGTATGCTTCTTGATGTTTCGCACCAATTTTCCCTTCAAAATGGATTACCTATAATTATTTGTGGCAGAGGAGACAATTTGTGGTGTTTAGGATACTTCATGGCATTATATTGTCAACTTTCGGTTCGACCCGAAAAGTAGGGCTGATTACGGATCGGTTCGGTTTCGTTAAGTAACGGTTCGGTTCCACGGATTGGGATTTCTCAAACAAAACAACCATGTCAACAAAGAACAAAACACAAAAAACATAGAAATTGTTTATACACACCAATTCAAACATGCAACAGATGTAAATCAGATCTAAGCATTTAAATACAAAAGCCAAATGACATAGATATATATACAAACGTTTTCAAAGACCTTACCACGACTGAATTGACTGAATTTCCCAATTTATTCTTCTATATATAGATATAGATATATATAACAAAGAGGGGTTTTCTTTAACTCTCTGATTGACCTACTATGAACGGCAATTTCACTCAGATCTGATCCACTGTTATCATAATTTGAATACAAGAAAATAAAGAAGGCATCAATGGATGACTTTGGAACGTCAGCCAGAGACTACGGGTTCAGACCCAAGGCAAATCGGCCCCTATGGCTTCATCCAAAACTAACACGGCCGTTGGATCGGACGGTGGAGATCGCCGAGCTCGGGTATCGTCGTCGTTCAGCATCAACGATCACAATCGAGACGGTTTGTTATATACTGATGTCTTCGATCATTGGCCCTCCCAAATACAATACTAAGCTGAAATTTTGAAGAGAGAGAAAGTAGAGAGAGATTGGGCCTAGGAAGGCATGAGTGATGGAAAGAGAAAGTAGAGAGAGATTGTATACCTTATGATGAGTGATGGAGATTTGCAAGATTTCAAATCTTATGGTTTCTTCTGGAGACGAGGAAATGAGGAAGAGAGAGTCGAGAAACAGACTGAGAGGATGCACCATCAGATGTTATGTTAGAAAACTAGGGTAAGATACAGGGCTGAATTTTAAAAACAAATAATGAATAAAAAATAAATAAATAGAAATAATATATTACAGTATACATATAATTATTTATATATATAAACGGATCGGATCGGTTCAATTAACGGATCGGATCGGTTTTTTCAGGTTCAATCCGTTAACCGAACCGTTCATTACGGATTGCTGATTTTTAAAACCATTGCCGAACCATTAGATCAAAAAATCAAACTGAACCGCACGGATCGGATTGATTCGGATCAGTTTAGATCAGTTTGACGGATTAACGGATTATTTGAACACCTCTACCGAAAAGATAACATCACATATAAGCATTTCACTTGTGCACTTGTAGTTCATCTGCATCCGTTTGAGGCACAGACACATACGTCCATAAGATTGTCACAATTACTCCCTCCTTTGGGCCCAAGGTGCCCAACGTCCTCATTCGTCGTAATTCTACAAGGTTTTTATTTTATTTTTATTTTATAATTAGCTAGAGAAACGGTGTTGTAGCGAAACTGTTTGCAAAAGAGGGGAAATCGGCCACATTAAAATTACCTTCTGGGGAGGTCCGTTTGATATCCAAAAACTGCTCAGCAACAGTTAGACAATTAGGAAATGTTGGGGTGAACCAGAAATGTTTGGGTAGAGCCAGATCTAAACATTGGCTAGGTAAGCGTCTTGTAGTAAGAGAAGTAGTTATGAACCCTGTAGACCATCCCCATGGGGGTAGTGAGAAAGTATGCAATATCTTTGGTATTTTTTGTGGTGTTATCAACCAATGGGTAGTTGTCGTCGTTTTTTTTTTTTTTAATCCTAGGCAAATTGAGAGTTGAGATTTTTTTATGATTATTCCGAAGAAATTGAGAGTTTTTATGACCATCCCAATAATTGTGCAAATTGAGATTGAGAGTTGAGAATTTTTATGACCATCTTGGACAAATTGAGAGTTTTTATGACCATAATATGTTTACGTACTACCGAATATATTTAAGTTCTCCGAGTAGTGCTCCGAATATTGTAAACTTTATGTGAAATGGTCACTTAAAAGGGGAATAGGGCTATAGAGGTAGAAATAGGACTATGGAGATGTGAGGCCCGTTTCGATTGGCTTTTTAAACACTACTTTTGGCTTTTTGGACTAAAAAACTATTTTGAGCTGTGTTTGGTAAATTTTTTAGAAGAGCTTTGGGTCTTTGGAAAAGCGTTTTGAAAAAGCTGGGGGTCTCCAGCTTTTTTAAAACGCTCTTTTGTAATAATAAGGAAGAGTTGTGGTATTTTAATGAAACTTGTACCTTTTTATCACCTAACAAAAAAAATATAATTCCAAGCATATCCCTATAAAAGTTCCTTTATTTTTCTTTCCAAACCTTAGTATTACAGATCTCGCCTTTGCATTCTCAAAAAGAAAAAAAAAATATCATTACATATCCCCCTTCATACTCAAAAGACTAATCTGATAGAACATTCAACTAGAGGGAAACTCAGAAGAAGAAGATTCAAGGATGAGAACATTATATATATATATATGCCTGTTGTAATCTGTAAATCGATTTTTTTTTTTTAGTTTTTTTTTTTTTTGTGCCTATTCTCAAATTCATTACCATCCATCATATGTTTTTTCCCTTTAATTTTATTTTGTCTAAGTTTTTCTTGTGAAGATGTGGGTGTGTATACAGGTAATATACGTGTATATATATAATATGTGTATATATATTATATGATTTACTTAATGATGGTTATGAAAAAAATCTCCAAGGCTAAGGCATAATAAAAGACAGACGATCACTACCAACAAAATAAAGAAAATAAAATTCCTTCTTTGATTTTTTTTCTTTTATTTATTTATTTATTGTTGGTCAACTCAAATTGAATTGGGAAAAAGTGAACTTATATGGAAAGTGTTGTTTTTTTTTTTTTTTTGTTTTTTTTTTTCCGGTTGTTTTTAGTTTCCTTCCATTTTTTAATTTATCAAAACACTATAGAAGAAAACAATTACAAAATAAGTTAAATATAAATTATGTTGAAAAAAAATAAGGAAAGAAAAATAATTGACTGTAGCAATAATTTCTTTAGAGTATAATTAATTTTGTTATTTAGATCATTTTACGGGCATCAACATGTAAAAAAAATAACTTGGTAAAAATGGTTTACATAGTAAAAAATAACTTAATTTTGTTATTTAGACCATTGTTTTGGACTCGTTTCATTGGTTTAGATGGTAAAAATGCTCATTTGATTGATTTTTTAATGGCATATTGAAACACTCTTACTAAATTTCTTAAATTGCAAAATAGTTTTTGCAATCTTTATTTATTTATTATTATTATATTTATGACTTGTTACAGATAAATTTGATAAATTGAATGAAGGGCAAAATAGTCATGTTAGTAGTAGAAGAGCTTTAGCAAACTTTTTGCCAAACAGATAAAAAAAACTCTTACAGTATTAAAAGCTCTTCTACAATGCAATTCCTAAATATTGACACATAAGCCAAATAGAAGTAATGGCTTCTACTTATCTTTTTCATTGGTGCAAAAGCAGAAGTAAAAGAAAGTGTTCCACCATGTATTCCCAACAAACAGGCATTATATATAAAATAAATTTTCACTCTTTGGAATTTAAAATTAGATTTTTTTTTTTTTTTTTTTGCTTCTTAATCATTTATTATTTTTCTAATTAATTTATAAATAATAATATTACATTTTAAATTGTTTTGAATCTCATCCATCTAAAAGAAATACTTATAAAAGCAACTGGTGTTGACTGTTGAGAGACTCGAGTTCCATGTGGATTCAATCCATCTAAGAAATACTTGCAAAATCAACGTGTCATGTTGAGACCGTGTTCCACATGGTTTCAATCCATCTAAAAAAATGTACTTATAAAAGCACCACATGACAGCCAACTACCCTTTTATTTTATTTTATTTATTTATCATTATTATTAGGTACACGACCATCCAAGACCAACAAAATAACTCTAAGATAATAATAATAAAAAAAAAGAATAAAGTGCAATAAATCCCCCTCAATTATACCCAAATGAGCACAAAACCTCCTTGAATTTCTAAATTAACAGAAAACCCCCTTAAACTATCTTATTCGTTAAAATTTACCCAATCCGGTAATCGGAGATTAAATTTTTAACCCATGCATGTCATGTGATGGATTTCTTTTCACTAAATGACAAAAAAGCCCTTATGATAGTTAAAAGACTATAACACCCTTTTTGTTCATACATAAATCATGTATCATTATGCTTGGTGACGAGAAACTAAGGATCCGGAATGATGACGCGATTCCGACGAAGGCGCTGATGCTACGATGAGGGTAAATTTTGTAAATTCTCCGAGCTAGGCTTGAGCGAAGTAGTTTGCGAGCTTTCTCATCGCAGTGGCTTACGACATCGCTAACAACCCTGTATGCTTCACCAGCGCGTCGGCGAGTTTGAGATTGTCTTCTTAGACTGCCTCGGCACAGGCTATCAAGCTGTGGACAAGTAGGAATCCTCTCTTCTGCGAATCCACGAGCACCACCAGCCGCCATGGCTCCACTGTGGCAGCTCCAATTTCGGGAATTGGTGATACAAGCGGCATAATTCTCAACCCCAATCACAAGCAAACCAAATCGCAAAATTCTCAACCCCTCACCAAACCTAATCACAAGAATTGATTTGCAAAATCCAATCGAAAACGTACCCAATTGCAAAACCCCATGAATATTTTTTCACAATCACCAAGCAAATCCATCACAAAATTCTCCATGGCCAAACCTAGGAAGGAGAACTGTGGAGCGTAGGGTAATGCTCCAGTTGGTTTCTGAGAAATTCTACAGAAAATCAAGATGAGAATTTTAATCATATGACACCTAGGAATTAAATTTTAAAAAACCCAATATAATACCAAAACAAGAAATTGGGATTTAGCAAAGTTCAATGACAAAATCAAGCTCGCCGACGAGTTGGTAATCCGGCGGAGTCATCATCGTTTATTTATCTCTCTTGCTCCAGTTGGCAATCCGGCAGAGTTACAATTAAATATTTTTCACTGTTCACCATCTTCTTTACAGCACTGATTAAAAAATAAATAAAAAATCCTCTTAAACACCCAAACTACAAACACATCATTATATCAAAACACATAGAGACATATATATATATATATATATATATATATATATATATATATATATAAAACTGTTCATCATCTTCTTCATAACGCACTGATTTAAAAAAAATCCATGTAAACACCCAAAAACACCTCAATCACGCTCAATATCCGTTCGTGGGCACAAATCATCTCTATCAGTCTCGGTTTGTCATGGTCTCCTCTCCCTATCTCTGTCTTTGTTTTGAAACTCAAGAAATCGAAGCGGTGCACGAATCATCTTTGCACGACATGTTCCCGAATCGGTGCACACTAATCCGAGCCAGCTCAGTCAACTCGTCACCTAATTGTCGCTCCTCTTGCTCAATCACAGCCTTCCTGCCCGTGTGCAGCAAATTGCTTAAACGCCATAGTAAAATCCGACACCAGCGGCTTCAACTCACCCCGACTCAACACAGCAACCATCTTCGAGTACATAAAGTGAATGAGTTGACTCAGAAGCAAAACTCGTGGCGACAGAATCTTGATGTGCTCACTCTGATCAGGTTCTTCGTGAGTGAAATTCTGGTATTGTCCTTATCGTCCTCCTCCTGAAACGCATTGTGGTAAACCCGCTCATCAGCGCCGTGGTGAGCCGGAGCAAGTGGTCAAGTTCTAGTTTGGAGACTTGGATCATTAGTGTTGATAGCGGCGGCGAAACCGGCTCAGAAGAGGCAGTTGGTGCCGTGGTGAGTCCGGAGCGAGTGGGTGAGTTCCAGTTTGGTGATCCGGGTCATTGGTGTTGATCGCGGCAACGGAACCGGCTCGGAAGATGCAATTGGTGCCGTGGTGAAAGGCGGTTGTCGCTGAAATATCTGATGGCCTTGATGATGATGACGACGACGAGGGCTTGTGGGACTCTGTGATACATGTGTCGATTTCCTATTAGTTTCGAAGATTACAATTTGCCACTTCAATTATTTAGCTAAGAAACTACCAAAACTATGTCGTTTTAGTGAGGGTAAATGCTTCTTTAAATTAGTTAAGTTCAATATTTCAAAAACTACGTCGTTTTTTAGTAAGCGTATATATGTCTTTTGATTTTTCCGATCTACCCAACTACCGGGATTGGGTAAAATGCAACAAAATAATAGTTCAGAGAGGTTTCTTGTAGTTCAGAGATTTTTTTTGCAAAATCACAATAGTTCAGGGGAGTTTTTTGCACTTTGTCCTAAAAAAAAAATTATTATATGATTCTGGGATTTTTGACTTTCAATTAATCAACACTTGACACAACAATATGTTCCTATTGAAAAAATTACATAAAACTCACCTACCCAAAAAAAAAAAAAAAAAAATGCACTGCCATAAAATCCCATAAGTATTTTGGTTATTGCAACACTGTCCCCTCAATCAGAAAGATTCTTTTATGAGACGAAATTGACCTTCCCAACTATTTGAAGGTTTATTTTATTTTATTTTATTTTTATTATTAATAATTGAAACAATGTCACTTCAAACTATATATATATATATATAAAACATAAAAAAGGCCTTCAAATACAATTAGCTAGACATAAATGCATTTGAAGGTTTTTTTTTTCTTTTTTCTTAATAATTGAAACAAGATTACTTTAAACTTTAAATTATATGCATATTTAAAAATAAAAAACCTTCAAAATGCAATTAACTAGTACGTAAATGCACTTAAAGTGGGTGTGCAAGTGGTATGTGTGAGTTTCTCGCTAATGACATTAAAAAAAAAAAATGCATTTGAATTTTTTTTCGCTAGTACATAAATGCATTTACGTACTACTCGTAACTAATTGCATTTGAAGGTTTTTTTTTATTATTATTATTATTTATTTACGTACTAGCTAATTGCATTTGCTTTTTTTTTTTTTTTTTGGTTTTTTTTTTAAAAAGGTTTGAAGTTACCTTGTTTCAATTATTAAGAAAAAAAAAAAAAAAAAAACTTCAAATGCATTTATGTCTAGCTAAGTGCATTTGAAGAGTTATTTATTTATATTTTTTTAAAAAGAAACTATATATATATACATACATATGGCGACCTTGTTTCAATTATTAAGAAAAAAGAGAAAAAAATAATCAAATGCTTAGGAGGGGGTAATTTAATCCCAGAAAATGATTTTTCTTACTGGGGGCAGTGGTGCAACAACCAAAATTCTTAGGGGGTTTTATGGAAACAATTTTTTTGTAGGGGAGTTTTCTGCCAAAAATTGAAACTGATCTTTTACTGCTTTGATTTGTAGAGATCCTCACGGACCTCTCTCTCTCTCTCTTTCTTGTTTATCTGTTTCATCAATATATCGGTACGTAGATCTCTCTCCTTGTTCTTCTGTTTCTGTTTCTGCTTCTGTTTCATATTCTGCTTATTTTTCTGTGTTAAACTTGCATTGTTTGATTAAACAACTTAGGTTATTTTATCAAAATTATATGTATGTGTGTGTATTTGAAAAGGGTACAAAAAAATTTAATTTGTTGAAGGGAGATTCGCCATTATTTTGATGTTCAGCTAAGTCAAGCTTATAATTAACCCACTATGTCTCTTTTCCTGGCAAATATATATAATGAAATTGAACACCATTATCAGATAAATTAATGCTTCATAAGTCTTTTATAATTTGTGTTATTTCATTCCTTCTTTAATTTATGATCTGGGTGACCAAGTGTAGCATATAGTTATGGAATTTTTGTTTTTTATATAAATAATTTCATGTCCTGAATTTCCCCAATTGGGTTATGGCAGTGAAGTGAAATTTTAAGTTTATCTTATGATTTTCAAAGATTCCTAGTCATATTTTTCTGGGTTAAACTTGCATTGTTTGATTTAACAACTTCGATTAATTTGTCAAAATTACATGTATTTGTTGGTTTATTTGAAAAGGGTCAAAAGAATGTTACTTTGTTGGAATTGAGATTCACAATTATTTTGATGTTCAGCTAAATCAAGCTTATATTTAAAGCATTCTCTCTCGTTTCCTGGCAATCTACATATAAATTAACTTGAACACCATTAGCAGATAAATCAATAATTCATACGTTTATTTTATACTTTCTGTTACTTATTCCTTCTTTCCTTCTTTAATTTGTGAAACATATAGTTATAGTTATAGAACTTTGTATTTTCTATAAGAATATCATGTCCTGAATTTCCCCAGTTGGGGTAAAGCGGTGAAGTGAAATTTTAAGTTTATGTTACGATTTTCAAAGGTTTCTATTCATGTTGGTATAATCATTTGCTAGCTCTATTTGTTTTGATGGGAACAAGTTTGTATAACAATTCCATTTCCTCACCTTCCGCCTTTCCACCCACCCAAAAATTTAGAAAAGAATAAAAAGGTGAATGAAAGAAAAAGAATCTTACTTGCTGCATTCATCCTGATGAATGATTTTTAATTTCTATCTTATCTATTTGGGAAGTTTTTCCATGTCTCTTTAGTAAGCTATGCCAATATACTCTCCCTCACACACACACGAACACATACATATGTATTGTTGGAAACGGAGCATTAAAAATATAAACTTTGGATGAAATTTGAAATAAATTCGGCTAATAATTTTTTTGCGGATCTCTAGACGAGCACGTTTCTCTCCGTAAGAAGATGAACGTGGTATATTTACTTTTTCAAATCCGTTTCCGGGTGAATGAGAAATTAGTTCCAAAGTGTGGTGTTTTGATAAACCTAAATGGGTATGCAAAATGTGGGAAGTGTTTGTCCCACATGGAAAAAATATTGAAACTAATGGAAATTTAAATAAGCCAAATTTGGGCTTGGGCTTGGGCCTAATTGTAAAGTCCAATTATTCTTTTTACTAAATAGAATATTGGATTGGCCCTTTAATTTTGGGCTGGGCTTATTTAAATGGGTGGTTAGTTTTTGAATTTAAATTAAAAGTTAGTTTTTTTTTTTTTTTTTTTTTCCAAAATGTTGCATCTATTTCTAAAAGGTTGCATCTGTTTTTCAAAGACTTGCATCTGTTTCCAAAGGGTTGCAACTCAAAACCAACAGACATAACTATATATGTGAACCATTGCAACCTATTGGAATGGATGTGTCTATTGGTGAACAGACACCATGTGAACCATTGTAATCTATTGGAGTGTATGTATCTATTGGTGAACAGACACCATGTGAACCATTGCAACCAGTTGGAGTGGATGTGTCCAGTGTGAAGAGACACATATAAATGGTTGTGTCCAATGATAAAGAGACACACCCAATCTGTAAAGGCACCTTACTTAAAAACTACTTTTTAGTTTTTTCCAAAGGGTTGCACCCAATCCGAAAAGACACCTTGTTACCTATAAATACCCCCCTTTGGATCATTTGTAAATCATTCATTTTCATTTTCTTCTATCTCCCTCTCTAGACTTTAACCCAACCCAAGTGGGTTCAAACCATAGGTTAAGTGGTCCGAACCACTTAGACCCTAATCCAATTTCATCGAGCCATATTAAGATTGGTCCGAACCATTTGGTTCGGATTGCATTCAATTCAGCATATATAGAGTATAGATGCATTTTTGAGTCAAAGAGAGTATTACACGGAGAAGGTTCGCCATATCCACGAGTTTGTAGTGCTGCTACTGGTGGATGTAGACCGTTGTATCCTGGGAGATAGACGCCATTGAGTCCGTAAGCACCGTAGCCGGGCGAATCTGTCTTAAGGACATAGTATCCAATACTAGCCTCGGTCCAGGTTCTTTATTTATTATTATTATTTTATTACTTTATTTTGTATATTTAATTAAATATAGAGTTGCATATTTAATTAATGATTTCTTAGCATATTGTTAATTATCTTATTACATATTAGTATAAGGTTTGTTATATCTTAAATGTTACATGAAGCATATATATTTACCAACATGTATGTATATGTTTGAATGTCAAAACCAACAGACTTTCAGGATAAACAGTCCTTAACCATCCTAATAGGTACTGTTAGCTTGGTTAATGGCTTCAATTTTCTTCAATGGCATTATTCTAGATGATGAAATTATGTTTCCCACCTTCACAATACACACACACACACAAACACATGTATATATGAGAGAAGAGCCAGTTAAAGTTTTATCGAGTAACCATTCAACATATATACGAAAGGGTTGGTGTTTTCTATCTTCACAATATATATTCCATTTGTTTCTTTTGGTGTCAAAAAAGGTGGCTGTGGTGTCTTATTTATAGAATGATATGAGCAGCAAGACATATTGTCATTAAAAAACCAAATATAAACTAAGAGCTTCAGAATAAAAATTCAGATTGGTTTTTGAGAAAAGAAATGAATAAAAATTTCCCTACTTGATAGAAAAGTCTAACCTTCTCCTCCCTATAGGTTTTCTATTAATTGCTTAAAAAGATAAGGTGTCATAGGATAGTGGTGTGTATTACTAAACCAACAATAAATGTAGTTTTTTTGATCAAAACATAAAAAATTATTATTAAAACAATGAAAAAGTTCTTTAGAATTAAAAGAACTAAGATATACTTATTTTTTTCATAAGCAAGTAAATAAGATATACTTAAATGTCATTGCCAAAGCAGTTACTTAAAGGAACTCTATGTTAAAACAATGGAAAAGGTCTTTTAGAATTATTTCTGCTTAAAAGATGATAAAGTATATGTTGTGATAGAAAGGCAATGATAATAGCTAGATAGAAGTAAAGATCAACTACTTTGAATATCTGCATATAATGATCATTAAGGAGATAGATTTGTGAGGGTGTCTCTTATTGCTGGATGAAGTGGAGTAGTGTTTTATGACTGAGTTATACCTGTCATATTGGAGGATAAATAATGTAAGATGAGCATGTTATAAGGCTTCCATTTATGGTAGAAAATATTCAGCAAATAGAAAACATTTATATCGGATATAGTACTTGAAATGAAAATAATTGATTATCTGCAAGGATCTAGAAGATTGCATCAGTTAGGCTAAGATGAAATCATTAGAGGAAGTCAGTTGAAATGGTTTGATTGTGTGGAATAATGTCTAATTGCGGTTATTTTATTTTATTGGGGGGACAAGATGACGTTGTTTGATTGAATTTTTAAATGAAGAATGTACCATTTACCAACAATGATGAGTAGTTTGCAGTTGTAGTTAAGGTAATATTTAAGGTGTTTAGTGATGTAAGACTGTCACAGAAAAGGATGAGGCTGTATACATTCAAGGGAAGGTGGATTGAAGGTAGGGTTAAGAGTGGAAAGGGGGTAAGTAAGTTGAACTTTGAAGAAAAGTGAGAACCTCTCAGAAGCAAGGGATTCATCCCCATTTAAGTATGCTCTGTCAATCACCTCTCAGTCATTGTAAGTTTGTTAGAAAGAAACCCAATTTGGAAACTTCTCATTGACCTTTCTTTTATATGAAGAAACCTTATTTCCTCCAAATGAAGCTATTGAAGGAAAGCTAAATCTTTGATCAATTCAAATTTGGCATATCCTCTTTTCTCTACAAATTTAGAATAACTTCATAAAATATTTTTACAATTTTCTTCTCTCAATATTCAGTAAATTTAAACATTTGAAATTTTGGGGGGTTTAGGTTTTGGAGCAAATGAGCAATGATTAAGCTAGTTAAAATGGCATTGGTGTTAGAAAATTTTTATTGAGTTTGTAATTAAGAGTCTCAGAGAGATTGAAGCAACAATGGATGGTATTGTTATATCCGGGGCTTAATTAACAAGAGAATTAGAGCATAATAGAGCCAAGAAGGCAGTGAAAAACATTTTTGAGAGTTGATCGGATTTTATTATTATTATTTTATTTTATTTTATAAGTGAGAGGAGATCAGATTCTGAGTCAAATTTGGTTTAGATGATGGGATTTGTCTTTTTATTTTACTTTTTAAGTCTATTCTAGGCTGTATATCGTATGGCAGTATGGAAATTCAAATCTATTAATGGGTTTAAGGGAAAAGTAAAGAAAAGACGATTGATATCTTTCCTGGTAATGCTAAATGATTAGATAAAATTAGTGACATCTATTTCATGGGCTCTCATATTCCTTTGCATGTAAACCATGTCGACGCGACATGGGTATGGGTACAAGATATGTGTTCGACACATGAAACCATATTGGACACTATGATCCTTCACATGGCATGATTGAAGAAGGAAAACCTCTAATTTAATAGTGAAGATGGGTTTCTTATCTATGAGATAAATGAAAACCCTTTTATTTTACCACATCCAATTAAATTTGAGTAAATTGAGTATTCATACAAAACAACATTAAACATTACACTATAATAAAACATATAGGGCCAGGTTGATTTGTCACTTAGAAAACAGTTTTCTATTATCAGAGAACTGAAAATCAGGAAAACGTAAAAAATTCTGCTTGGTTTAGTTTTCTGAAACCGTTTTCAAAAATCTAGTTATAAAAATGCCTATTTTAAGAGAATTGTCTTTTATAGTTCTCTGAAAACAGTTTTCTGTTTCTGAGTTCTTCAAAACTGTTTTCTAAGTGACAAACATAAAATTTAAAATGCGTAGTACGTGTCCTGCATCCAACTTCTGGATACATATTTATGTATCTTAAGATCTGGTATTCGAGGAGGTCTAATACTTAGGCACACACCCGCACTCGATACACTTGTCTGAAGTCCAGTTAACATAGATAGTGACAAGTGATGGGTGTAGATTTATTGGATGTCGTTTTTCTTCTCTAACCCATACAAAGAAAGAAAAAAAAATCTGCTAACACTCAACTAAAAATTGTATAGTAATAAACATGGTCAAACCACTCCCAAGTGAGACTCCGTTATGAGACTCAAATTCAAAACATCAATTTATGGGATGGAAAAAAGAATATTTTAAAACAAGTTTTTGATTTTTTAATAATGAAATTAATAAACTAATACTAAGTAGATGTGATCAAAATAATGGGATATAGAAGGTGAATCGACCACCACAGATCAATATAAATAAATTTTCTATTTTTGTTATATGAATTTTCCTCCAATAAATTAAGCACTCCACCAATCCAATTACAACTTGGAAAGATGAAGGAAAATATGACATAACTTACTTGGTTATTTATGAGAGATGTTCTTGCAAAATTTCTGTCACCACCTCATGTTAGAAACATAAATAGTGGTAGGCATTTTCTAAATTACCATTATTTGGCAAACATGAAGAATCCTCCGTTTATTTCTTTGGCCTCCAACCTCCATTGTGAGGTTTTTGTCATTGAGATTCATAAAAGAATACTCTTGCGAGGAAAAATTATACAAGAAATAAAAGACATTTATTTATACTTTAGCTATGGTGGCTTCGTCACTCCCCTGAGGGGTGTTTATGCTAGCATGTCAACAAGAAAATGACACAGAAATAAAATTGCTTTTGAGGAAAAAAATTACAAGAAAATAATAAACTCTCTCTAATTCACTCTATTCTTCACTTACTCTCCTCCTTCCTCCCCCTTCAGATAGTCCATATTTATAGAGTTTAGAAGGGAAGAATTAGGAGGGAAAAGACAAAAATTTAAAATCAAAATACAGGAGGGGAAAAGAAAAATTTTAAAAATCAAAATACATTTAAATGCTAATTTCCAAGTAGAAGTGATGATGACGATATTTGATGGAGCGCCAATCTAATGCTGATCCAATTCAATCCAATTTTGAAATTGACTGTGCGTATATGATAACTAGAACATTTATGTTGCAATCAAGTCTTGAACTCGAGACCTCTTATAAAGTAGGTTATGCACTGGACCATCTCTCCTACAATGCTTCTGGTGTTCTTCTTCAGCTATAAACAAATATAAATAAATGTAATCATCCGTTTTTGCAGCCAAAATTTTGCCATTTTTGCTTCTTTTCTTCTTGTTTCGAAATTAACCCCTATAAAATATGAAAAGCAAGGATAAGAACATTTAACTAATATAAAAGATTGATTAAATATTTATTTTTGAGTACAAAATACCAAGTTTTGTGCACTTATCAACAACTACTTAAAATATCTTAAATTTGGATTAAGTTGGGGAATATTTTTCCATGATAGCTTGAATTTACAAACTCTTTGTATTACCCACAAATTTTCAGATAAAAATTTCTGATATATGACCTAAAACTTTGAAACTCAAACTGGTTGCCAAAAAGAAAAAAGAGAAGAGCTTTCTTTAGTTTGAGACTTGAGGCATGTTTCAAATGGCCTTAGATCAGTCTCGTGGTGGAAAGAAAAAAGAGGAGCCTTCTTTAGTTTGACACTTGAGGCATGTTTCAAATGGCCCTAGTTGGATCAGTCCCGTGATAGAATAATTGGTTATACTATGTTAATGAAATTGTTGGTGTACAGAGGAAACTTGCTTAAAAACCAGTGTAGAGCATTAACTTCTTTCTTTACTTAGCTAGACCATATCAATTGATTTGTGGTTGGTGTTAGGAATTGTCTAAAACTGTAGTAGCATTCCTCCCTCTGTTTTTAGCTTTTGGCTTTTCGGAGTGTTTTTTTAGTATTATACAATAGGAATTTTTCCTTTTTTGAATTATATACCTATGGAAATTTAATGTTGCCCCCCTGAAATTCCCCCTCCCCCAAATCATTTCTGAAAGAACAGGTGGCCGGTGATTGAGATTCACTGAGATAATAGATTTACCTACCAAAATGAAAAAAAAAGGGCTAGATACTGCAAATTAATTAGGGTATTCCATTAATAGAAAAGATCACTGTTGTTCTCGCATTGTGAGTGCATGATCAATCAGCACTTTTATTTGTTATGTTCTAATAGCAAGGCAACACATGCATAAAAACAAGTTATTAACGATCTATTGTTGCAATTTTATGAAATAAAATCATTCTAGCTGATGATGGGCTCTGCAAACGGGTTAATGAGTGCACAAGGGAAGCAACCACTTCTTTCTTTTGGGGTTATCTCCGATGTCCAGTATGCTGATATTCCTGATGGCCGTTCATTCCTTGGTGTTCCTCGGTATTACCGACACAGCATTTGTGTGTTGCAGAGGGCAGTCCAGAAATGGAACAATCACCAGAAGCTAAAATTTGTGATCCAGTTTGGGGACATTGTCGACGGATTTTGCCCCAAAGACCAATCTCTAATTGCTGTTAAGAAAGTTGCTAATGAATTTGAGAAGTTCAATGGCCCTGTTTATCACATGATTGGCAATCACTGCCTCTACAATCTTCCTCGTGACAAGTTACTTCCATTATTGAAAATTCCAAGAAGTGATGGCCGTGCCTATTATGAATTTTCTCCAATCCCTGAGTACAGATTTGTTATACTTGATGGCTATGATATCAGTGCCATTGGTTGGCCTCAAGATCATCCAAACACTCTGCAGGCTTTGGAATTCCTTAGGATAAAGAACCCAAATTCAGATAAGAACAGTCCAGTGGGACTGGTGGGCCTTGAGAGAAGGTTTCTAATGTTCAATGGAGCAGTTGGGAAAGAACAATTGGAATGGTTGGATGGTGTCCTCCAGGATGCAACACAATCAAATCAGAAAGTGGTGGTCTGTTGTCATCTCCCTTTAGATCCCGGTTCGTCATCCAAAGAAGCTCTTCTGTGGAATTTTGATGAAGTAATGGATGTGATACACCGGTACAACTGTGTGAAGCTTTGCCTATCTGGACACGATCATAAAGGTGGACACTCAGTCGACTTACATGGGATACACCATCGAGTCCTTGAAGCCGCCCTAGAGTGCCCTCCAGGTACAGACGCATTTGGATATGTAGATGTTTTTAGTGATAGGTTATCTCTTTTTGGTATGGACCGAATGGAAAGCACTGATATGATTTTTACTCCAAAGAATATCCGCCTGTAGCATCCTCCACTCATTCTTTTCTAATATGATGTCGAATGTACTTTACTGTAATAGGACCATAATCATTTAAAGGGAAGTTCACAAAGATTGGAATGACTCAGTATTAAACTAGATTTCCTTGCGAGTAGTTGAAATTAACAGCAAACTTCTGATGTCATGTTCTTGTGGAAAAGAGGCAAGGATGCTGTGCTAAATATTTACTAGCTGCATACCTTCAAAAAGGTTAAGTACAACTTCTATTGCACACGTGAGGATTCATTCTGCTGGAATTAATATGATTCTACAATTTCTTTCTACTCTTATGTGCTGTATTTTTTTCTTGCCTCTATTCTCAGGAGTCAGGACTTGTGATAAATTGCAAATTATGCATACTATAGCGAGGACCTAAAATTTTGCTTTCCGGGGGGTTGGGCGGGGTTAGATAAATTCCTGCTCATAGGTCATGTAAATTTATTCACTTTGTTTGGTTCCTGCAAATAGCTTTGGAATTAAAATTCTATGTCTCAATTCTACAACTATAGTTTTATAGTTGTATTTTTTTCCCCTCCTGATAAGTAACGTTGGCTTGTCTGGAACTGAATCCTCATAAGATCTCCACCCTTTTGATGTCTCTCACTCTCACTTCATGCGTGAAGAGCGGAAATGGCAGGTAAGTCCAGAATTGAGGACGACAGGAACCATAGTTAAAATGCCTATGGTGATGCGATGACGATGTTGATACCGTTTGTGTTTTTTCTTTATTTTTCTCAGCTCAATTGCTTGATACTCCTATGGAAAAAAGGGCCTCAATTCTTCTCTTGTCTTCTGGGAATATTTCTATCTGGAAGTGGTTTTGAGTTCATACTGGAACTGTTCCTTAAGATACACCTGAGCATATGGACACTACTGCAGTTTTGGGTTAAATGGGTTTAACACTGGTCCCCAAGTTCTTCATTCTCCATAGGGTTGGTTTTGTGGTAGTTAGTCTCTCAAAATATTATTTTTGTTTTTGTGTTACTTTATGAGTGCCTTGGGACTAATTTGAAACCAGCGGCTTGATAAGAATATCCGATGAGGGCAAGTTTTTGGTTTGTCAGTCTTGGAATTTCAATTGTAAGGTGTGTTTCTTACTGTTGAAGTTTGTTTGATGTCAAAATTGTATTTTGTTCAGTGTGTACTTCCATGGTTGCCAAGATAAGATGAGAACAATGGAGAGATCATTGCTCAATTAGAGTGAGAATTGCTACGAATGATGATAAATGGTGTTATGTACTGGCCCTTGTGTGGTTTTATGATATTCAGACTCATCCATGTTTATGCAATTTTCTGAACTAGCTGGTTAGTGTGACTTATATTAACTAGTTTTTCATCACACATTACTGAAATCTTACAATAGCTTCTTCCTCAAATTTTTTTTTTTGGTCAACACTCATTGGATAAAACTACATTTGGCTTTAGGTAAGAGTTGATATCCCTTTTTTTTTTTTTTAACTTGTTTGGTTTGTTTATTGGTGGATGTGGAGTAGACCAGATACTAAAAGGTTGTTAGCTTATATCAGAAATCTGAAGTATCCCAATTCTACTTGAACTTGCTGACACTGTTGGCATGCTGGTTATGGTTATTATGGAAATTGGTTTTGGCCTTGAAAATCACTAGCCAGATAGTCTTTTTCAATTCCTAGATAAATTATATGTTGATATGACAGAATATTGCTAGGCCAGGAGAAGATTGCGACGGAGAAATATCTTTAGGGTTCCAAAGTCTGTGAAAGACAGCTTCCCGTAGGGGGAGAACCTGAAGGCCTTTATGATGGTAAACAAGGGGACTACTGAAGTTGCACTTAGACATCTAGGATAGAGTTTTGCATTTACAGGGAAGGCTGGCTTTAGTTGTAGGACAGAATGGGCATTTGGTTTTACAACTGTCTTATGTTCCACTTAATAGTGTTTGGCTGCTCAAAGATCTATGGAGAGGTTCTCCTACTAAATGGCGTTCCATTGTCAGTTATGTTGGTTTTAAGTAGGTGTTTGTGGTTTAATGTATTGTTTTTTTTTGCTTGAATGAACTTTGTTGGTTGGTGTTTGTGGTTTAATATATATATATATATTTTTTTTGGCTTGAATGAACTTGGTTGTGTGGCTTGATTGGTCTTATAAAAAAGTTAGAAATGCCAAGTGACTGTATAATCTTAGCCTTTGGATCTGTGGACTCTGCTATGGCAACTGTAAGATTCAAAGTCTGAGTACGCTAAGCCTTTAATGTACAAGCACAACTCAAAAAATTAAGAGGACACTTTTGCGTGTAGTTGCACTCTCAACCTCTAGATCAAAAGGTTACATCTCAATCTAATGACGCAGCGCATGAACTCACGTAAAAATGTCCTCATCATAGATTTACTCTTAATATTATGTCATTTAGTTGTAATTAATTGCACATGATTTTTGTTTTCCATTCATTTGAGAGTAGAAATGTCAATTGTTGATGCAATTACTACTCTCGGCAAAATTTGTTGAGCCATCATAATAGTCAGTGAGGCAACTTGAATTGTTCTTTACCATTCAAAAAAAAAAAAAAAAACTTGAATGGTACTTGATCTGTACTTACATTAAAATAAAAAAGTTAAATACCTATATATATATGTTTTTTGAAAGTTCATAGTCTCATAGAGAGACGAATAATAGTTAATTAGGCAACTTGAATTGTACTTTGATCTGTACTTATTCATTAAAATAAGTTTGATATAGAGATAGAATGGTGCCATTCTTTGCACCAAGACTTGTTTAACCTCTGTAGCTATATCATTCTGAATCAATAGTTGGTGGATCCATTTTGATCGCTATCTGCAATCCCTCTCTCCTCTATGTCTAACATCTACCATTCACATATATACACACATATATATACGGATTATTGCAAAGGATGAGGTCAACTGGTGAATCCTTTTGCAGTTTTGACATTCGAAGAGGTCTGTTAAAAAATATGAGATGTTTCTATGGTGTCAAGGCTACTGTCATTTTGTATGAGGGTATGAATGTCATTTAACATTTTTGGTGAGGGAGTTTGACTTGATAAATTACTTTTGTTCTTAATTATAACAAATTGATAGCTAAAGGAAATTTCTTTAGAGGTGGTTGGTGGTGTTTTTTTGTTTTTTTTACCCTGGTCAATGAGGTTACTTGAATTGTACTTGATCTGTACTTACAGTAAAATAAATGAGTAAAATATCTATCTATTATATATATATATATTGAGATACAGGAATAATAGTTAATGAGGCTACTTGAGTTGTACTTTGATCCGTACTTACTTCATTCATTAAAATGAGTAAGATGTAGAGATAGAATGGTGCCATTCTTTGCACCAAGACTTTTTTAACCTTCTTACTCGACGAACATGCACTTGTTTCTGGACCATAGCCGAAATTGATGGGTTGACTTTCTGTTTCATTGTAATTTACTATTATATGTTACATGAAATCAAACTCAACTTGCTTTAATTATTAATATCTCTTATGCTTCTATTTATTAAAAGCAGGTGGTGGTTTCAAGAGAAATCTAGGTGATTTGTTTAACGAAGAACAGCCTTCAAACATTTATGCTTTCGTATGAAAGAAAAAAAAATTAATAGAATGGAAGGAGGAGGGATAGAAAAAATTTCATTTTTTTGGCTGAATGTAAAAAAGAGAAAAGAATGAACTAATAACTAACTGTGTTTGTTAGGAAAGAAGTGAGAAAAGGGTTTTAATTTAGTATAGTAGTAATTTACTGTGTTGGTATAATTTAGGATAAAAGTCATTTAAAACTTCTATATTAGTTTCAGTTGTTCGTTGGTTCTTTTTTTCTGTCCATATCTAAAGGGATGAAAATTTGTAAAGGAAGAAAAATAACTCATCCTCTTTTATTATTCTCTCTTTGTCTCTTCTTTACTAAATGAAACAAGTTTATTTCTCTTTTCTTATTTTTCCTCCGCACATCTCCCTTCCTTCTTACCAAACAAAGCATTTAATTCGAATCTAAGCAAAACTTTGGTATAATATAGCAATTTCAAATAAATTCTATCTAATGATAATATTTTAAATGTTTAATTTCAAGTTACTAATAGCATCATTACATGATATAATCTTAAAAATTTGGTCAAAAATACATATTAAAATATGAGGACTATAATTTTGTGAAAATGACATGAAAAGCTTGGTTGAAACCTCCTAGAAAAGGACGGTGCTATTATAATATTTGATTAAATCACATTTTCAAGGTTTCAAATGCAGCCTAGATCGATTCATAATGACCCATCTATCTCCAATTTCCTGCCCCTTCTCTCTCTCTCTCTCTCTCACACACACACACACTGATGAGCTGTATGCTGATGTAACTGAACTTGATGAATACCAATTTCAAGCCGTTAACAGTGGATGATATATAATCAAAGTCAATCGTGTCTCCACTAAGATATCATCAATCAACAGATAATCCTTTAAAAAACGAATTTGGTAGTTGTTAACCTCAACTACTTAATCTAACCACCATTAACATTACAGACTATAATTAAAGATTTTTGGAGCTAATCTTACAAATAATTAATTTCATATTAATCTAGTGTAGATCTGCCTGTACTTGGTATAAAGTATGGATATGAACATGGGTATGATTCATAAATAAAGACACGGTAAACATATATATGCATACACATAATATAAGCATCAATTATGTATAATAATATATATGTATATATGGATAAATTTAAATAAGAATTGTTTACATTGTTATTAAGATTTTCTTTATAAAATATTATGACAAACAAAATGAGAGTGTAGAATTATATCGCAGGATAAATTTTGGATTAAATTAGTCATATTATATCTCAATAATTCTTTCTTTAAGAAAACTTGAACCTTCATTAACAATTATATCAATACACGTAGGTTATTGATTTTTTTTTAGTTGTGCTTCATAGAGTCAACATTTCTGAACCATATGCAATCATTTGAAATATCCTACAATCATTCGTTTTTGGGTGATGGGTAGAAAATTCAACTGTAATTTTAAAAATGTGCAAATAACACTCTTTGCGTTCAAAAATCAAATAAAGACTTCTTGTCGGAGGGATAAGTAAATATATTAAAATGCCCCCAATATTCTTTATATAATAATAATAAAATTGGGTAAAGTGCATTAAACTCCCTTGCGTTCAAAAATCAAATAAAGACTTCTTGTCGGAGGGATAAGTAAATATATTAAAATGCCCCCAATATTCTTTATATAATAATAATAAAATTGGGTAAAGTGCATTAAACTCCCTTGAACTATAAGGTATTTTGCACAAAACCCCCCTGAATTAAAAAGAGCCCCCTAAACTATTAGAAAGTTGTAGTTGAGGACATGTGAGGTGTCCGGTACCAGAAAGAGAAGATTACGAAATTACCCATAATGAAACTGCACCGTTTTGATGCTTTATAAACTCATGTTGCTGATGTGTCATATAAAATTTCAATAACCAATTAAAATTGGACTGCACACCACCTACCCCACCTCATTTTGGCACCCGTTCCCACAATCCCACCATATTCTAGTACCACTAAAGACCACCTCTGCAACAAACCTGGAAAGGTCACATAGTACCAACGGCAAAGCAACGATGAGGACGACGACACCAAACACGCGACCTGGAACAATCACGTAACACCAGGGATGAAGCAGCGATGAGGACGACAACACCTCCTCCTCAACACCATCGCTCACCGCACTATCAATGACAACCGCCTCAACAACTCTGATTCATCTTCCTCGACTGCTTCTTCATCATTCGTCCACGTCCGCCACTAACCCTTTCTCTCCCACAAAGATTCTTCTTCCCCCAACCACCTCCACTGTTCACGGCCGCCACCCCTGTCTTCGATCCACCTCTCTCTCTTTTTTTTCTCTCTCCCTGATCCGCATCCAACTCCGGTCATATTCGAACCTATTTTTCATGATTTGTTGCAAGCTCGTGCCGGAAAGAGAAAATTCTACTTCTTTCGCAACCATTCGACTCTTCTTCACATTCAAAATTGTTCCAATTCTAGTAGTTTGATTCAGGTATTTTTTTTTTTTTTGGTTAAATTAGATTGTTTCTTTATGGGAGATGAATTGAAGAAATTTGAGCAAGAGGAGAGATTAAGAAAGCTTGAACAATGCTCAACACCACCTTGGTTTCTATCACTATAAATAGAAGAAATTTCACCTATAGAACGAAAATTAGGATTTGTTGATCACTTGCACTTCTTCGGTTAGTGAATCTTTAGTGCCTTGCATAGAATCAGACCTGTCCATACATAGAACGAGAGAGGACGATTTGCAATAGAAAGGGTTAGGGTTCCAATGGGCAGCAAGTCTTGAATTGGGGATTTATGTTTTATAGCATAATATATGGGATAATTTTACTTACCTCGCCTGAGGTTAGGCGTAATTACAGGCGGTACCCCTTACGTTTCAAAAATTACACTAACCACCCTCCAAACTGATCGGCATTTTATTCCGGCCATTGACCATGTTAAATGACTAAAACACCCTTCAATATTTTATTAATATCACGTGAAGAATATCTTTCTTTTTGAAATTATTAGATTTTCCCTAATGGTTTTGGAGGGAAAAAAACTGACGGCTAAGTCCCATCATTTGCAACCCTTTCATTTCACTCATTATATCAGGCAACCCATTCATTTCCTTTATTTATATCACTAAACCCTTTTATTTCCTTTACACATCTCATACAGCCGGATCGAGAGAGAAACAGAAGAGAGAGATGGAGAAGCACAGAGGTGAAGAGTTTGATGCGTTGCCTTTCAAACCCTATATTTCTAACGACTTTGATCTTCTGTTATCTTTGCTAGCCGTTACATAACCCATAATCGTTCAACAAACAGGCATCGGTATAATATTTTCAGAAGCAGGCATTGCTGGTGAAGGTAAGCCTAATTTTTTTTAAAAAATTAGGGGTTTTGCTATTCTTGTTGAGGTCTTAGGGTTTTTGCTTTATAGATATATAATAGGTTCCTGTTCATTGCTATTTTGTTATGCATGTCTATTTTCGCAGTGATTTTTAAAGTTTTTGTTATAGTTGTTCATAGTGTTTCGTTTCTGATATATATATATATATATATATATATATATTGCCTAATTTGTATTCTAATTTTACCATATTAATATGTAACGAGTATAGTTGTTTATAGTATGAAACTTTTTTTTTTTGAATCTGGATATTGTTGGATAGGTTCTTCGACAAGACATAATTAACACTTATATATGGTATGCAATTATTGTCATAGATTTTTTTTTTTTTTTTTGTATCAACACTTATATCAGTTGCTGGATAAGTTTTTTTTTTTATATGCATCCTAATTATTTTTATTTTTATTTTTATTTTTTTTTATGCAACGAGTACAGTTGTTTCATAATTTGGATTTTTTATTTATTTATTTATTTTTTTACAGTATAGTTGTTCACAATGTTTGGTTTCTAAAATTTTAGTGAAAATTACCATATTGAAATAATTTAGTGAAAATTCATTATATATATATATATTTTTTCTTTCTATATTGATATGTGTTGAGATTACCATATTGAAATAATTTAGTAAAAATTCATTATATATATAGAATTTTTTTTTCTAAATGTTTTTTGTATTCTATATATATAATGAAAATTGTGCTGTTATTTTGAAATATGCATGTGATTTTGTTATATGTATCATAATGTTTTTTGTTATGTGGTATAAACAGATGGTAGATTCTGAATTGCATGACATTATTGTGCACTACAAGTCCATTGTGAAAGGAATTTATAATGTTGACCCTGATAGGTACTGTTTTATTGATTTGATGGATGATGTTTTACAAGTGTCTTTAGAAAATTTACCTGCACAATTAGGAGTCTCAATTATCATGCATTGTGATTTGCCTGGGAGTCATGAGAAAATGGTAGTCCAGAGTGATGCTGATATGTTACAAATGTTTAGCTTGTATACTAATCCTTATAAAAAATTTGTTCATGTTCATGTTGAGTTAGAAACTGTTGAAAATTTAAACATGGTATGTGAGAGGAATGGTGCTGTGAGGGATGGTGAAAAGGATGGTTGTCCAAGGGGTGCTTATGTAAGTGGTGGTGAGAGGGATGGTGGTGAGAGGGGTGGTATGGTAAGGGATGGTGATGAGGAAGATGACGATGATGTAGATTATATATTTGGTTTCAGTTCAGAAGATGAGGAATGGGAAGATGAACATGAAGGGTATTCTAGTGATAGTGGACTAGTAGATGAAGGTACTATGGGGGGAGTTCAAATAAGTAGTGATGATGGTTTGTCAAATTATGGGTCAGGGGATGAATGTGGATCAGAATCAAATATTGAAATATTGGGTGATACTAATGAAGAAGATATGGCTAAGGGTAAAGCCTTTGATTAATGTTTGTTTGGGATAGAATTTCATAGAGTTCCAGGATAAAAGATAGAGCTAATGAAAGGTCACCTAGTTGACAATATTAAGAAATTTAGGGAAATGTTGAGGGATTACGCAATTCAAGAGTGTTTTAAAATGGTTAGAAAAAAAAATGAAAAATTTAGAATAAGATGTCATTGTGCTGCTACAAGTTGCCCATGGATGATACATGCATCACCTCTCTTTGATAAAATCACCTATCTGATTAAAAAAATAAAAAAGAGCATACTTGTGTGAAGGAGAGCACTTCTAGGGAAGTAATATCAACATGGATTGCTATGAAGTTTGCAGATAGGATAAGAGAGAATCCTGAGATTAAAATAGCATCTTTAGGAGCTGCAGTGAAGACACAATACGGAATTGAACCTAGAGAATACAGTTGTATAGGGCAAAGAGGAAGGCACTAGAGGAAATTGGGGGTAATCATGCTGAAGCTTACACATTACTTCCAGTTTATGCAAATGAAATTGATAAAACAAATCCAGGAAGCTTGGCTAAAATTAAGAGGTTTAGGGCAAATTTGTATGTGAACCCAGTCTTTAACAGAATTTTCATCTCTTTTGAGGCACTAGCCACTGGTTTGAAGAAATGATGTAGACCATTTATTAGTCTAGATGGCTGCCATTTGAAAGGACCCTTTGGTGGTGTTCTACTTGCAGCCACTGCACTAGATGGCAACAATGGCCTTTTCCCAGTGGCCTATGGTGTTATGGAAAGTGAAGGAAGGGAAAGTTGGGGTTTTTTTTCTAACACATCTATAGACTATGATTTGTAAAGATTTTGAGGACAACCCATGGACTTTCATGTCTGATCAACAAAAGGTATTTTCATATTCAATGTTATTTAATTTTTATTTTATTACCTTTGATAAATTTAATTGTTGACATTGTTTTAACTGTTTTATTTAGGAACTGGATTCTGCATTTTCTTATATCTTTCCTAAGGCCCACCATAGATATTGCTGCAGACATTTATTTAATAACTTTAAAAAGAAGTACCTTGGTTTATTGTTAAGGAAGTACTTTTGGAGGACTGCAAGAGCTTACAACCAAGCTGATTTTGATATTGCCATGGGGCATTTGAGGAATCTTACAGAAGAAGGGTATAATAATTTGATGGAATTGCCTGTATCATCATGGTCTAGGCATGGGTTTGATGAAAATGTGAAAAATGATCATGTCACAAACAATTTAAGTGAATCATTTAACAATTGGGTTGGTGCATAAAGAAATAGTAAAATTCTGAACATGTTAGAATGGATTAGGATGCAATTGATGGGTAGGATTTAAAAGAGGTATGAGGTGGCATGCAGTTGGCAAACAGTGTTGACTCTTAACATTAGGAAGAGGTTGAACCAACTGATAGAGGAATCTAGACAATGTAGTGTCATCTTTGCTGGAGCGGATGAATATGAAATAATGGATGAAACTAGTACAATTGTGGTAGACCTTGGTGCTAGGACTTGTGTATGTATGGCATGACAAATTTTTGGCCTCCCCAAGCATGCAACTGCTGCAATGGCTTACAAGAGAATGAATATTGATCTGTTTTGTGATGAAATTTTTGTAAGGATGTTTATTTAGAAGCTTATGGGGGAATGAGATATCCCATAGTTGACTCAAAACTATGGCCACCTACTCATGGTGATCCACTTGATCCTCCTCTACCTTATAGAAGGCCTGGCAGGCCAAAGAAAAATAGAAGAAGAGATGCAGATGAACTTGCAGTAGGGACTAGTCAAGTGAAAAGGTCAATGACCATAAGATACATGATTTGCAAGGCTCTTGGACATAACAAAAGAACATGTCCAAAAAATGCAAATAAGGTCCAGAAAGGAAGTTCTTCAAAAGCTGCAAATGCAAGTGGTCTAGAGGGAAGTTCAAGCACATCTTAGGTAATTTAATTATCTGGTTTATTTTAATTAAGTGTTTTAATAAAAACTGAATTAGTGCATGCTATTTTTTCTTATGTTTTGTTTGTTTTTTAATATCATAGAGTTAGGGAGGGGGGGGGGGGGGGGGGGGGGGGGGTTATCACAGCCCTTGGGTGCAAGTAGTTCTCAATCCCAACTTGGTAGAGGCACAACTCAAATGGTAACTTTTTATTTTTTATTTTTTTCATTTACAGATTTCCTTATTGGCCATACAATTATTTGAAATTATTGTGGTTGTTTAACTCAGGCAGTTAGAGGTGGGAGTGGTGGTATAAGCAGTTCTTAACCCCAAGGTGCTATATGGAGTTTTGGTACAAGTAGTTCTCAGCCCCAACTTGGTAGAGGGACAACTCAAATGGTAACTTTTTTATTATTATTTTTTTCATTTACCGATTTACTTTATTGGCCATACAATTATTTGAAATTGTTATGGTTGTTTTACTTAGGTAGTTAGAGGTGGGATTGGTGATATAAGCAATTCTCAACCCCAAGGTGCTACATGGAGTTTGGGTGCAAGCAGTTCTCAGCCCTAACTTGGTAGAGGCACAACTCAAATGGTAAATTTTATTTTTTTTATTATTATTTTTTTCATTTACGGATTTACTTTATTGGCCATATAGTTATTTGAAATTGTTGTGTTTATTTGACTTAGGCAGTTAGAGGTGGGAGGGGTGCGTCTATGTCTCAGCCCTAACTTGGTAGTGGTACCTCTTCTGACATGGTAAATTATAGTGTCATGTAAATTTTAGTTATATATTTCGTTTCGTTTTTTTTTTTTTTTTGAACTCCATTTATTTGTTTTCCACAGGCAATGTGGTAACTGTCATACTGTTTCAATCCTTCTGGCCTCCCTTGAAGAATGTTCTTTTGTGTTCTTATTTGGAGCATATGTGGATAACCTGTCACTTTTGATATTACCATTTTGTTTTGATGGCATGTGGACAAGGGTTTGCTCATAGTTATAGTTGCATTTGGAGTATGTATGGATAACCTGTCACTTTTGGAAAACTTTGCTTGCTACTTGTTGACAATTTTTGGGATATTGTTGGATAGGTTCTTGGACATGATATAATTATATACTTATACTCATGGGTCATGGGTATACTTTTGGTTGTTTTGTGTATGTAATGAAGTGGAGACAGTTGGATTAAACTATATATAAGCTTTTGGTTATTTTTTGCATGCCACTGTGTTTTGCAATGGAGTTCATACTATAAAAGCTTTTGGTTATTTTTGCATGCCACTGTGTTTTGCAATGGAGTTCATACTATATAACTTTCATATTTCTTCTTAATAGACTTATATTGCTTCTAGTTTATATGGAACATATAAGGGTCATATTTCTTCAAAAACATACTTACATTGCTTCTAAGCACAATACAAACTTAATAGCTACTAAAATGTTTTTAACAAAGCTAAGAAAGACAACAACAAAGCTGCAATAATGAACATCTTCATTTGTCCATTTCTTGCTTCAATTAGATCCAACCGCCTATTCATCGCTTCATATTGGTCTCTCAAATAAGCAGCATCATCATTTTGTTGAACTTCACCATCTTGATTTGTAGATGATTCATAACCACCTATTGTACCAATGGGGTTGCACGACTTCCACAATGAACATTTTTTTCGTTCACAGGTATAATACAACTTCCCTTTGTTGTGATAAGTGTCGTAAATTGTAACCCTTATTGTAGCTGTTACACCACAATAACAAGTCATATTATTGTACCTCAAATTCCTTGGAGCATTACCTCTTGCAATATTTGAGCTTGACTGAGACATCTGGTTAAGCAATAATGAAAAGGAAAAATAAAATAATTAAATAAAACCACAAAATATGAGAGATGGAGGGAAAAACTGTAACTATATATATATATATATAGAGAGAGAGAGAGAGAGAGAGAGAGAATCATATATATATATTGAAAGAGAGAGGAAAAAAATCATATATATATATTGAGAGAGAGAGGAAAAAAATCATATATATATATATATATATATATATATATATATATATAGCAGACCTTGAAGGAGACCTTAATGGAGAATAGACCTTGAAGGAGTAGCAGATCTTCAGTTTCACGTAGAGAAATTTTAGAGAGAGAATTGTTAGAGAGAGAAAGAAGGTAGTGTTATGTAGAGAGAGTGTGGGCTTATAAAGATATCATGTAAGGGCTTTTTTGTCTTTTTGTTCTAGGTATATAGGTAATTTTAATACAAAAGGAAGGGTTAAAATGTCTTTGCAAATATAGTAAGGGAAAATGTGGTATTACAGGATTAAAAATAGTTGATGTCATTATTGACCGGCATTGACTTTCACTGGAGGGGGCTAAATGTTATGACGGAGCAAACCTTGAGGGAGGACAGTGTAATTTTTTAAATGTAAGGGGTACTGCCTATAATTACCCCTAACCCCAGGGGAAGTAAGTGTAATTACCCCAGGGGATGAAATGGAAGGTTAAGAGTGTAAAGAGAGAAAGTTAGGAGGAGAGAGAAGATGAAAACTTGTTATTGATGTGGACAAATTTTGATTTATCAGCTGGATCAATTATATATATATATATATATAGAGTAATGTTCAACTGCTTTCTGGTGTGTAGAGGCTTATACACTCATTTTTAATAGTGGCCTTAGGATCCAATCCGATGGACAACCTTCCTTTCACTGTCTTTAAGAAATTTAATAATTCTTTCAATTACCATCCAATTGAAATGACAAAAGTAGACACTCCCTTAAAAGAAACAAAAATAAAAATATTTTATAACTAATTTAGGCAATTGAACACTACGGAATCAAATAAAAAATTAGCAAGTCTCTTATACCCAGAAAATAAAATTAGAGATTATTGTGTACTTTGTGCGAAGAAGAGAGAGAGAAAAAAAAATTCTGAATTACAAAAATTACACTAAAAAGACTTCTATGAGAGTTCTCTGAATTACACTAAAAATACTGTCACTAGTTTCGATGCCATTCCACTAATAATTACAAGAATTTGTGGTTGAGGTTTTGATAGTTAGGGTTCTTTTAAGATAATGTGTTCTTTAAGCCTAATTTTAAACTACGTTTTTTGGGCACATGAACGATAAAGGTTAGAGATGATACAGCCCCAAAGATTACAATCACAACACGACTTCATAAAAGAAAAAAAAGGAAAAAAAGAAAAAACAGGTCAGATTAACCATGTACCAGTATGCTGTCAAACTTAAATAATTTTAAACCCTCTTAGACTTTAATTGATTTTCTTCAAACTTAAATAATTTTACAAGCCTAGAAACCCCTAGTTGTTTCCTCTTCTGTTTTGTTTAGGGTTGCGGTGTATAGGACTTAACTTTTTTGCCCTAATTTTCTTCTGCTTTATACAAGGACTGTCATACACGAAGGGAGTCAAACCTATATTACAATTAGAGTTCCACAAAGATTAGAGGAGTTAGAATGTTTCTTATGCAACAAAAAAACAAAAATCAAATCTTGAAAATTGTAACATTATATCCATAAACAAACCTATTTTTTATTTTTTAATTGTGATCCTATTTGATAAAAAAATTTAAAATTCAAATCTGAAAAATGGCTTATATCTTATAATACACACACAATTTCAGCTAATTATGATAATCTCTAGTTTTATTTTTTGGAAAGAAGAGACTAATTGTCACTGTGAAAGAAAGGTTGTTCGTTGGATTAGATCCTAAGGCAACTATTAAAAGTGAGTGTACAATTTTCTACTCATCAGGGAGCAATTGAACACTACTGTGTATGTGTGTATATATATATATATATATATATTAAATAAGGTTATTATATATAGAAATGAGAGAAAAATCACTTTAGAAATGAGAGAATATATAAAAATATATATAAGGTTATTATATATATTATATATAGAAATGAGAGAAAAATGAGTAAGGGGACGTTTAGTTAGTGCAAAAGGGTAGTATGGGTATTTAATGGTTATTTTTAGTCACATGATAGACACATGCCACTTTAGGAGGTCAGAAACTCTTATTTATTAACTTTTCATATTACAAGAATGGTTTTTCAACGCAAGAATTGTTATTTGCACACTTTTAAACTCGGAGCGGAGGTTCATCCCATTATTTTCTATGTAGGTTGGAAAGCGGCTTTTTCTTTTTTTAGTCCGTGCAAATTAGGAGGTGAACTCGACTGCTCATTTGGTAAGAAAATTACTTTTTGCCGTCAACCTCTAAAAACACAGAATGAGAAGTACATGATTTTCATGCTTTCTTAACAAACATAGACTGTTCCATCCATTCCAAATCCTATAGTACAAGAAGGTTTATTTAATCCCCACATAACACTTCTCCAGATTACCCTCAAAAAGATTAGCCACTTGACATAACATTACAACACTTAAAGTCTATGGCTTAACAACCACCTTTAATTCCCTTCATTTCTGCTGTGACATCTTGGCCTTTCTCTTCTCCAAAAAGAAGAATCCAAACAATGACACAACAGAGAAAGCAGAGAAGCAAGCCGAAGCGATATCGAGTGACATGTGGCGACCGGAGATTGACTGGATCTCGAACAAGTTGGCAGTCTTGTCAGCACTCGTGGTCTGACCATAGGCGGCCTCATGGCCCTCGGAGTTGAGGGCATATGCCCTTATGAAATAGATTGCAGTGGGCACATCCTTCTCAACAGTCCAAGTGAAGGAATTGTTTGAAGGGTCATATGGTTTGTCAATGATCTTGAATTGGCAGGTCTTGTCCTTGGCTAGGTTGTCCACTGTTTTCCTCCAGGCTCGGTCCACTTGGCTAATGGGTGCATAGCAGAGCTTCACCTTCACAGTCTTGTAGGCTGAGTCTGTCCCAGCTGGGAAGCTCTGGTTATATGACCATGTCACCGTGATTAGGTCCTCCCCGGCTTTTAAAACTGCAGGTTCAAACACAATAGGAGAAACTTATAAGCATTAAATATTTATCCAAAAAGAAAAATACAAAAAAAAAAAAAAAAAAAACCAAAAAGACCAGTTAAGGGTTACAAGGATTAAAATTCAAAGGAAGATAAAGTGATTTCATTTTCAAAAATCGCAACGAGTTCAGAGGACGACGGTTGGTAAAGGTTTACCAGGATTAAAATTCAAAGGGAGATGACGTGATTTGATTATCAAAAATCGCAACGAGATCCGAGGACAACTGATATAAATGTAAAGTCAACCCAAAAAGGGAAATTAAATGCAGAATTTATTTCTTCAATATACAAACTCCCAAAAATTGATTTGCTGTAGTTTAGAGAATTGACTCAAATGTGTGTCTGTGTGAGAGGGAGGAGAAAGAGAGAGGCGGAATTATACCTTGTCCCGGACTAGGTGAAGCAGTGACCATAAGAGTCCTTTGCAGGGAAGAGAATGTGATGATACCATAACAAGCCTCTGCCAAGCAAACAAGTACTAAAACCATAAATTGACCACTAATTGCCATCCTTTATAAACTTTCAAAACAAACAGCAAATGCAAAGAAAAAGGAAAGAAACTATATATATATATATATATATATATATATATATATGATCCCAATGTATTACCCTGAGTGATAATGAATTGAGAACTGCACGTTGGGTTGCTTTATATAGAGGTCACAACAGATCTACTAGTCCAAAGTATCCATAAATAGATGACGTAGTAGTGTTCTTAAAGAATATAGAACAAGTCAACTCACCGAATTGGCCCTAGACCATGTCGACGGGGTGGGATTACGTGGGTTTAATTAATTACGTACTAACAAAAAGAGTTGGATTGGTAGGGGATGTGTTTGGCTTTTAGTTTATTCCATTGACTTTTATTGGATGTACAAATACTCCTTTCTATTGTTTAACCGTGATAGTTGAGGGATAAAATTTTTTATTTTGGGAGATAAGAATTCATTCTCAATGAAATTTAATTATATATATATATATATATGTATGTATATATATATATATATATGTATGTATGTATCAATTGCTATCATGTGATTTTATCCTTTACTAACTAAATCATTTTTATCTCTTATATAGAGAATTATCTCGCAATAAAAAAAAAAAAAAAAAATAAAAATTATCCCTCAACTATCACTTTTAAACAGTAACTAAAAGAAAATAAAAGAATCCATTATTATATGTGTGTGTATATATAGATATATGTGTGTATGTAAACACAAGGGGTGGAAAGTAGAGACAAATGAAAGAAATAAGGTAGTTTTGTGTTAAAATTAATCATTTAATGTTCGGTTAGAAGTAGGAAATATGTAATGTATTAATGACACTTTTGATAAGATTTAAGTGAGGAGAGAGACTAAAAGGGTAATATTGTCAAATATATATATATTTTTAGTGTTTCATACAAATAGAAAACATACAATTAATAAATACATTAATTATAAATATCAAGACCAATAAAAAAAGCAATTGTTAATTCACAGTGGCCTAGCATTGCTCTTAATGTTTTGGTGTGTTATAAATTCTCCCAATGAACATTTTTCCAAAGTTCAATGATGAATTTATGGGATGGGCTCCACCCATAATAAAAAAATTATATATATGTGTGTGTGTAATGAATTTCTTGTATATATTGGCGGTGAGACTGTGTGTGAGGGTTGGTGTGTGAGTACGCGTGAATGTGTCCAAGTAAAATGGATGTGTGTGTCAATGCAACGAGTGTGGTGTAGCAGTAAAAAATCATTCATGGATAGACGACCATCACTACATTTAGAGATACAAAATCTCAAGTTACATGATGAGAAGATTGCTCATAAATTATTTAGAAAGACTGTGAAGTCCACCTTTCCCTAACATCTCTCTCAATTAGGGCTGAAAGTTGGACTATCTTAACCCAATCCAGTCCCAACCCAATCTCAAATCGAAATTGGATTGAGTTGGGTCAACTCGAATTCTACTTAAAATGGGTTATATCCATAACCAGCCCGAATATTTTGGTGGGGTTGGGCAGGTTTCATGGGTCATTTTTTTTAAATTTTAAATTTTTATTTATTTATTTATTTTTACATTTTTTTTACAAATGTGTAAACATCAAAATTTTAAAGAAAATTTTATTGTTTAATTCATTAATACTTGCCATTTTTCTTTTAATAAATACTTAGAAGGGCAAATTATCTATTACAATTGAAATAGTGTGTTGGGTTTTAACTTATATTGTCTCAGCCCAACAGTGACGCGTCAGTTGTGCGCGTGAGGACTTTGAACTCTTGAAGGCCAATTTTTTATGGCAACATGGAACTGTGGATGAATGTGAAATTACTGTTAACTGTGGAAGTAATGTTTATATATACTCTTCCAAAATTCTTATTCATTATCGAATCAAAACCTTTATCCCATACAAACATCAAAATATAAACTGATAATTTTTTTTTACTGATAAAATTATTATTATTATTATTTTCTCCCTTCTCTCTCCTCTCACTCTCTCCCATTTTCTTTTTCCCTTCATTTTTTCTTCTTACAGGCGAATGAGGGAGATAGAGAAGAGAGAGGATCCGCCTGTAAAAAAAAAAAAACCTTAAGTTGTCTCCCTCCTCTCTCTCCTTTCTCTCCTCTCTCTTCTTTTCTTTTTCCCTTAATTTTTTTCTTCTTATAGGCAAGGGGAAGGAGAGAGAGAAGAGAGAGGATCCTTTTTTAGCGAGTCTCACTAAAATTCTTTCTTTTTTTTTTTTTTTTTTTTTTTTTTGTAAATTTTATCGCCTAAATTTTATCGTTCTTTAACAATTAGTAATAAAACTACCAAACCCAGAAGGATCAATCACAGGAGAAAATAGACATCCAAAAACCCATCAATTTCATGGAAACCATGAGTTTTCCTCCATCTTCTCTTCTCACTCCTCAACTTTTCCGTCTCTCTTCTTCTTCTTCCTTTCTTTTCTATTCCAAATCCACAAATTTCATTTCCTTCGTATCTTTATTTCCTCGGAATGGTAAGGGTGTGTTTGAATAGATAGAGGAGAAAATAAAAGAAATGATAGTATTAATTAGGAAAGAAAAGAAAAGAAATGATAGTAATAATTTCTATTCGTGTTTGGATAGATATGGAAGGAAAGAAAAGAAATGATAGTTATTTTTATTTGGATAAGATAGAGGAGAAAAAAAAAAAAAGGATAGTAACCAAATTATTGTCATACCCTTTCATAATCACTTCACATATTTTATGTATTTTGATTTGTAGAGGGTATTTTTGGTATTACTAATTAATCACTTACTCCGCTATCCTTTCTCCCTCTATCTTTTGAAATTGGGAGAGAAACCAAATGATCCCTCCCTATCCTTTCTTTTCTCTACACTTAACCCACCCAAACATACTCCCACCCTATCATTTCTTTTCTTTTCTCTCCCTATTCCTCCAAATCAACCCTATCAAACACACCCTAAATGAAATCTATACTTCAAAACTCTTCTTCCCAAGTACCCCCTCCCTCTCTCTCTCTCTCTCTCTCTCTCTGTGGAATGAAGGACAACAAAGCCAAATAAAAATACCTTTTCATAACAATTAAGAGTGATTTAGATGGATTAAACTAACTTTTGGTTAAATATATAGGATAAATTATACTAACCTTTTTCTGGGCAAATCTCAAACATATTGAGTGTTTGATGTTTATTATTTTCTCCTCTACTAAAATTTGGTGTATTTGCTCAATGTCCCTGACGGCAATAAGCGGTTACATCTGTCAAATAAATTTTATATAATGTCTTAATTGCCTTTGTGGTATTTGAAAATATTTTAATAGCCTTACAAGTTTATGTAAAATTACATAAATACCATATACCCGGTTTACATCCACTAGTAACGGCACTTCAAATTCGTGGATGCGGCGAACCTCCTTCGTGTAATACTTCTTCTGACTAAAAAATGCATATATATTATAAAAAATATTAATTAGGTTTAATCTGAACCATTTGGCTCGAACCAACTGCAATATGGCTCATTGCTAAAAATGTTTGGTCTAATAGTTCGAACCACTAGACGAAATGGCTTGGACCTGAACACATTTGGGTTGGGTTTAAACTGATAGAGGAAGAAAAGAATAAAATGAACGATTCATTTATGGCAGTCCAAGGGGTATTTATAAATATAAAAGTGCCTTTTCAGGTTGGGTGTGTCTCTTCATCACTGGACACAATCATTTATATATGTGAGTTCATCACTAGATAGACCCATTCTAATAGGTTACAATGGTTTACATTGAAATTGATTTTGAGTTGTATCTTTTCATCTCACAACCAACCAGTGATCACACATGTTCAGTCTAACATATCAATATAGTGAAGGTATAGCCTAAACGTAGACAATCACCATCTTTAATAATGTTATGGCAACAACCATATTTCTTAAAATGTTTTAAGGAATGGATGGACCCTTCACACTAGGCATATCAATTGTACATGCCTTTCACGTATTCTGTTGATGACTGATCAAACAATTTTCATTCACAAATTCTAACAATCCCCTACATGAATGGAAATTAGCTGGTTAAATACAAAAGATAATTATGCAGGTACTAGAGAGAGTATAATTGGAAAGTCACTGAATAAGGATAGGTAGCTTTTGGCTTTGAACCTTACCTAGTATATTATTATCGGATTTACTGGTTAACCCATGAACGTGATGTTTTGAACTATTCAGCAATTGATAACCAATATTACAAATACACAGTTCCTTCCCGCATAAAGTAGGTTCCCACGGTTGTGTTCATATGGCCTTGAACAACTTCTGGTATTTTATGAGTGCTCTAGAAAACTTAGCCTTCATAGTTCTAATAGAAGCGATCCCATTTCATACTTATATATGTGACTTCTTATTAAGAGTATCCTACTATACCCTACTTGGATTTTCAAGGTATAAAAGTCATTAAAAACATAGCTTATCCTAATACTCGTTATAGGTAGCACTGTTTCTTCATCGAAATGGGTAGAAGATTTATATCTTCCCAGTGCTTCTGGTGAGTCTGGCGAGTCATTCATTATCCTTTTGAACCTAGATCTTGGGATCTCCAGTCAGTTAGGTTGGGTTTCCATTAAGATGACTCGTTAGCTTTCGACTTTAACCTCATTCCCATCGATGATTTGTACAATTACTCTCTAGTACAACCCTCAATTTTATGTCTGGCCACAAGGTTGTATTAAAAATATTATACTCTGCAGAAATTTTCCTAGTTGAGAGCAATTGTATACTTTGTGCCTTAAAATTGCTTATAGTAATATCCTTTTCTTTAGTGGCATAGATGTAGACTTACTTTGAAATGTTATCTTCTTTAAATTTATTCACTTTTCTATTTGATTTATTCAAAGCTCCTAGCTTTGATTTATGTTAAGATCATACAACTACACCTTTAATATTGAAGACATATCCACTCTTGGATTTAAAGTCTTTAATATCCCACATCCAGATTGCATCACTATTACACCTCCAATTTATTTTGATACCTTGTTCAATGCAATATTTGACTTAGGGTATTTCACAACTACCATATTTATCACTTTTTAGTGATCCTATCATGGATTGATTG